TAACGCGCCGCGCCCGGCGCTCGGCCGCCCGCCGGTACGGACACCAAGGACACTGGGCCAAGCGCGCTGCCTGGACCCCCCGCGCAGACCCTTGCGGGCGCGGTTTTGGGCCTGGAGGCAGCGTGGGCGGAGGAGGGGGGGCCGAGGCGCCGGGACTGGGCGGTGCCGAGCCTGGGTTGGGCCTCTGGGCCCCGCCCCGGGGTTCGAGGTGACCTCGGGCCAGTCCGTGTTTGTTCCCCTGTGCTCTGGGCCTCAGCTTCCTCTCCGGAGCCGGTCAGGCTCAGTAATAATAATGGTCCACGTGTATTCAACTGGCGCTGCCTGCATGCCAGGCCTCTGGCCGACTTCAAGCCACCTAAAACTTACAGCCTGGGCTGTGAGTTCGGTGTTGTCATTGTGCCCATCTTAACCGAGGCCCAGAGAGGGGAAGTGATTTGTTCTGGGTCACACGGCTGCAAGTGGTGGGACTGGGATTTGAACTGAGGCCTGCTGGTTTCAGACCAGAACTTGTGGTTGGGTAGTGGGCATGGCTGCTTGGGGAGGTGAAAGGGGGTACATCCTGGGGCCAGACTGTTGAAGAGCCATTGAGGAAGCCCTCCTTCCTGCCTTGATGCTCGACTGCCAGGTGCAGGCCTGGGCCTCTGGGGCTCTGGGGACAGGCCTGGCTGGGAGGCCTTCTCTGCAGGGCGGGGTGGCTGGGCCAGCTGCTGATTCCCCTCCCTCTGCCTGTCCTTCCATCTGCCACCCTCCACCCTCCCAGGCTCTGGTTGCCATGGAACCTTATTAATCAGGCAAGCAGACCCCTGGACCCCTTGGAAGTACTGGGTGGGCTGGGCCTCTGGGAGCTGGAGAGGAGGCCTCCAGTGCCAGGAGACAGTAAACATCCCGAGGAGATGTCTTGATAAAGTGCTCCCTGAGCAATATGTCTTGATAAAGTGCTCCCTGAGCAATAAGAGGCTCAAGATCAGTTCAGATTGGGGGGGTGAAGAAGAGATGGCTGAATTACATGGGAAGAAGGGAGTGGAGGCTTGGAGCTTGGGCCTGTGGGCTGCAGGACAGGGTGTGGAGACCAGTTTGACTGGCGCTGCTTGTGGGTGAAGGTGGGGCACAGACTGCCAGACTGGGGTAACATGCCAGGCAGGATAGGGTCTCAGCAGGGGGCTTGGAACAAGTGGGAGGGGTGAGGCAGGGCCCAGGGCGAGGAGGTGGAAGCTGCTCAACTGCCTGTGTAGGCCTAGGTGGCAGCTGGTCCCTGAGGCATCCTCTAACCCCCTTGGCCCCATGCCCAGTGCTGCCTTCCTTCCGGAATCACCGAGATGCTAATAGTAATAATAATAGTAGCACCATTGTTTTGACACTGTTTTGTTTGTAAGGCTCTGTGCCAAGCACTCTATCCAATTAACTTGTTTAATCCTCTCAACAACCTTCCCCTTTTACTGATGGGGAAGCTGAGGCTGAGAGTTGTTAGAACCCACTGTAGTCATTCAGCTAGTGAATGGTCGGACCAGTCCAAATTTCCTGAGCAGTTAACCTAACCTCTGGGATGCCTTGCCTTCTAGAGATGTTAATAGAGGTTTCAGGAAGCCCAGTGGCCCTTCCTCCTAATGAGTAATGTGGGGGCGGGGGCACCAGGAACAGGTCCCCTGGCTTGTGTCCTATACATTCCCCCACCCCCACCTCCCCATGGCTTGTTCCTGCTGGTACCAACTTGGAGCCTGGAAAATAACTCCCATTTAGCTGACTTGACAAGTACTCATCAGGCCCAGGGCTATGGGTCCTGCCCTCAGGGAGCTGAATTCCCAGCTCAGAGTGACTGCCAGGGACTGGGCCAATGAAACCTGCCCTCTGCTTCACCCCCATTGGTGTCTGAGGCAGCCTCAGTGAGCCTGAGCATTCCATTCATTCAAAGTTGTTGAGTTAGTGGGCACCCATGAGGTACTAGGCACAGAGGCAAGTATGGGGCCTCTGCCCTCACAGTGCTTAGGGTAGTAGGCATTTTCTGCTAGTGGGCAGGGATGGGGACTGGCATCATCCCGGAGCTGAAGTCCAGAAAAATGGGCCCAGCTTTTGCCCTTTAACACATCACAACTCATATCTGTGGGTAGCCACTGGCCACATGAGCTGGGGCCTCCACCAACTCACTGCATTGGTATTTTTGGGGGGACATTCTTGAAACAAGCTACAAGCTCAGCTTCTGTATCAGTGAGCATTCATTGAACACCTCCTGCATACAAGGCTCTGCAATTCAACCATCTCTCTTGGCCCTTCCTCTCTACCTCTACCCTGTTGTCATGACTTTCTAAAAACAAACTAGCCCTGGCTGGTGTGGCTTGGTTGAGTGTCATCCTGTGCACATGCCCAGGTTGTGGGCTCAGTCCCCGGTAGGGAGCGTGCAGGAGGCAGCTGATCGATGTTTTTCTCCCTCTCCCTTCCTCTCTATAAAAAATCAATAGAAATATTTTTTCAAAAACTATTACACATTTACTACAGAAAAAGAGTTAAGAGAATAAGTTGAAGGGGGCAGAATCCCAGCTCCATCCATTTTTCCTTTTGTTGTGTTTTTTCCTAAGCATATTTTTATTTTCAGGTTGTTTTGACAGTTTTCTTTTTCTAAAAACTTAAAAACTGTAGTTTTTCCTTTATTTCCATGTTCAAACAGTGTACCGTCCACATTTTACAGATAACAATCTCCAATGGCCCTCCTCCATACATAGGTTACCCCTGAAATGCATTCTATAATAATAGAAACTGAATCAGAAAAAAGTTTTCATGAGCTTTTTTAATTCAAAAGGAGATTATATACATGCATTGCCCTAAAACGGTGTTTTTCTTGTCAGCGTCTTTGATAGCTGTGTGATATTCCAGGGTGTGGATGAACCACAGTTTCTGTAGCCCCCTCCAATGGGTGGGTATTTGGGTAGTCAGACTTTTTCATCAGTGTTCTGTGCCTTTCAGGTCCCCTATGCCAGGATCTCTAGAGAGCGTTAGCAGAAATGGGCATCTATCTGCTTGAGCCCTTGTTTTAGAATGTGGCATTGACCTGCCTTCAGGGAGAAGGCAAGGGATGCACTTGTCAGGAGCCTGCTAGGGTTCAGTCCATATGGGAAAAGCTAGAAGGGGAAACATTCTGGTTGACTTTGGGGGGCCTGGCTTCTGGACTAGGTTCTAGGGAAGCAGGATCTGTGGTGGATATTAATGTGGGCTCTGTGCCAGCCCATTAAGGTTCAAATCCTGCCTCCACCTCTCACTGTCTCACTCTCTGAGGTGTAGGCTCCTTGTGAAGTGGAGGTCATGATAGCACCTGCTGCAAAGTCTGGTTGGAGCGTTTGATCAATGAATGCAGGTGAAGCAGTTACTGAGTGGTGTTCAGTACACAGGAAGCACCCAGCATGTGTTAGCTCTTCTACCCCGGGACACCTGAGGGAATCCATGAATGTGTGAGAGGCAGTGCCTGGGTCCATCATCATGTGGGGAGGTTCATTCAGCAAACATTTGTTGATGCCCAGGCCCCATGCCAGACATTGTGTACAGAGATTATTTAGACCCAGGACCTGCCTTTTAAGGACTCCCTGGCTTCTTGGTGAGTCAAATACATATGCAGAAATTTGTAGCGAGATAATGTGGGAAAAGGTTGGGTTTGAGGCAGTTCAGAGGGAGTAGAGGCGTAATCTCTATTGCAGGGTCAGACAGACTTAAGTGATGGGTAAGGTGCCTGTCCACAGGAGTAGGTGTAAAGGGCAGGAAGGTGGGAGTGACCAGTACGTGCTAAGGCTTGGAGGCACAGGTTTTTGAAGAAACATGTCTCAGGTTCATGTGAAGAAGCCATGACAGATGAGGACACAGAGGTGGGCAGACAGCTGAAAGGCTCAGATGGCAGGTGATAGTGGCCCTGGTGATGGGATTTCTTGGCAAACAGATGTGATGAGGTCAGTGGCAGGGCTAAGTGAGGTTCTAGCTTGAGAAACCCTGTGGAGAGGGCGAGGGGGGACGTCTGGTTTTGGATGTGTTTGAGATGCCTGTGAGACTTACAGGGCCATCTCCATCCTTGTATGTGTGTAGCTAAATCAGGGAATCCTAGCTCTGCCACTTCCTGGCTCTATGACCTTTGGCCTCCCTGGGCTTCAATTGCTTTATTTGTAAAATGGGGCCATTATTGTGCTGCTGGTCCATAGGATGGAATGAACTACTATATGCAAAGCACATGGGGAGCACCAGCTGCTGCCATGTTCATAGATAGTCAGAAACCGGAGAGAGGTGGTGACTTGCCCAAGGGTCCCGTATCTGAATGGCTTAAAACAAACATCACACAGTTTCTGTGGGTCAGGAATTCAGAGGAGACTTAGCTGGGTGCTTCTGACTCAGGGTTTCTTCTGAGGTTGCAGCTAAAATGTTGGCCTGGACCCCAGTTGTCTGAAGTCAGGACTAGGATTGGCGGTTTTATTTCTAAGGTCACTTATGTTGCTGTAGGGAAGAGGCTTCAGTTCCTTGCCACTTGGGCCTGTCCTTAGGGCTACTTGAGGACCTGCATGACATGTTAGCTGGCTCCCCCCAGAGTGAGTGATCCAAAATAGCAAGGAGGAAGCTCCAATGGGTCTTTGATCCAGTCTCAGAAGTGTGTCACTTCTGCCACACTCAGTTCATTAGAGGCAAGTTACCAGATCTGGTTGCTGTTTAAGGGGAGGAGAATTAGGTTCCATCTTTCAAAAGGAGTATAAAAAAACTTACAGACATTTTATTTTTATTTATTTATTTATTTATTCATTTATTTATTTATAAAACAGAATTTTTAAGATAACTTTAATATATATATATATGTCTTTATTGATTTCAGAAAGAGGAAAGGAGAGGGGGAGAGAGAGATAGAAACATCAATGATCACAGAGTCGTTGATCAGCTGCCTCCTACACACCCCCGACTGGGGATTGAGCCCGCAACCCGGGCATGTGCCCTGACTGGGAATCAAACCTTGATCTCCTGAATCCTAGGTCGATGCTCAACTGCTGAGCCACCCCTGGCCGGGCTTTACAGACATATTTTAAACCACCACAAGCCCCCGGTTAGATAGTGGTAGAGCTGGGACTTGCCTTCCAGTTGAGTGGTCCATCCTGTATGTAGGATTGTGTCCCTTAGGATCTCCCCTCACACACATAGGCATCCTAGTAGAGAAACTGAGACAGGGTGGCCAGGAACCTCAGCCAGATCTCTTGTGGCCTCACTCTCCTGGTTACTGAGTATCCTCCCATTGTTTTTGCTAAAGGTGAAGCGGAGACTGGACCTGGAAACTGACCATCAATACCTGGCTGAGAGCAGTGGGCCAGCTCGGGGAAGAGGCCGCCACCCAGGAAAAGGTACCCACAGAGCTCAGGCTAGAGCAGGCTCCTTGACTGGGCCCAGGTTGGGGGTGTGGACAGACAAATATGCTTGCAAACTAAGCTCCGGTCTGTCAGGCTTGGGCCTGAGCCAGGCCTCAGGGGGCCCCAAAGGGCAGCTGGAGTGACTGCCTGGCATGGCTTCTCCAGGCCCTGGGGGTGGGGAGTTCCCCAGCCCGAAGAGGAATGCTGTGGTTGGCAGGCAGCAGCCAAGGGCCTCCCTGTTTGGCTTCACCAAGAAAAGGAGCCATCTGCCCATCCCACCCCCATCCTCCTGCCCTGCATTGCCAGAGAGGCTGACCCAACTGGGGGTCAGGGTGGTGCTCAGAGACCCTACCCTCCCTGTCCCCTGCCCAGGTGTGAAATCCCCAGGGGAGAAGTCACGCTATGAGACATCCCTGAATCTGACCACCAAACGCTTCCTGGAGCTGCTGAGCCGCTCGGCTGATGGAGTTGTTGATCTGAACTGGGCAGCTGAGGTGCTGAAAGTGCAGAAACGGCGAATCTATGATATCACCAATGTCCTTGAGGGCATTCAGCTCATCGCCAAGAAGTCCAAGAACCATATCCAATGGCTGTAGGTACCTGCCAAACAGGAGGGCGGGCAGAGGCCCGGGCCAGGTCAGCCTGGAGGAGCTGATAACAAGACCCACTGTGGCGACTGCATCTCCATCTTATAGCTGGGGAAACCAAGGCTTAGAGAGGAGAGGTGTCTTTCCTGAGGTGGCAGATGCAGGAAACTACACAAATCTTGTATATCCAGCTCAGTGCATATTTGCATATTTCTTCACCTGGTTAACCACCATCTAGCTCAGGATAAAGAGCATTTTCAGCACCCCAGGAAGTTTCCTCATGGCCTTCCCAGTTGTTGCCCACCCCTCATACCACCAGCCGACCACTATTCTGGCTTCTGTTGCTGGAAATGAGATTGTCTAACCTAGCTGTTATATTCTTGTTAATTCTTCCTTGTTTTTTAGCTTCTTGCCTCTTTCCTCAGTCATCCTACTTCCCTCTCCTTGAAATATCTGTCTTTTCAGGTTTTTTTTTTTTCCTTTTCAATTACAGTTTGCATTCAGTGTTATTTTGTATTCATTTCAAGTGTACAGCATAGTGGTTAGACAATCATACTTTATAGTGATCCCCCGATATTTCCATACCCACGTCGCACCGTACATATTTATTACACTATTAGTGACCATATTCCCTATGCTGTACTTTACATCCCAGTGACTATTTTGTAACTACCAATATGTACTTCTCAATCCTTTAACATTTTTCACCCAGTTTCCCAACCTCCTTCCCCTCTGGCAACCATCAGTCTGTTCTCTGTGTCTATGAGCCTGTTTCTGTTTTATTTGTTTGTATTCTTTAGATTCCACGTAGTATATGTGAAATCATATGGTATTTGTCTTTCTCTGACTGACTTATTTCACTTAGCATAATACCTTCTAGGTCCACCCATGCTGTCACAAATGGTGAGATTTCATTATTTTTATGGCTGACTAATATTCCATTGTATATGTGTACCGCCGCTTTTTTATCCACTCGTCTATTGATGGGCAACATTGGGTTGCTTCCATATTTTTGCTATTGTAAGTAATGTTGCAGTGAACATAGGGGTGCATATATTCTTTTGAATTAGTGTTTTGGATTTTTTTTGATATATATCCAGAAGTGGAATCGTTGGGTCATGTGCCTTTTCAGTTTTTGACACATAAAACTGAAATCTTTTTTTTCTTTTTACTTGACAACATCTTAGAAGTATTTCCATGTCTATACATCTAATGCATTGTCATCCTTTTATACAACTGTGTAGTATTTCATGGCATGTCTGTGCCATCATTTACTTAACCAACTCCCTCTGAGGGACAGGTGGATGTTTACAGATATTCAGGTCTGACTTTAAACCCATGCCAGTCTGGCTGGGAGCCCTGCTTCAGCCCTCTGCTGTTTGCCAGCTGAGGAGCCAGACCGAGAGAGGAACAAAGGCTTGCCTGGGTCTCACAGAACAGAGGCAGCAGCAGCCTGGGTGCAGAGAGTCAGGACTCCTGGGCAGAGGGCCCAAGAGCTCTATGCCTCCCCACAGAGGCAACCACGCCACGGTAGGGATCGGTGGGCGGCTTGAAGGACTGACCCAGGACCTCCAGCAACTGCAGGAGAATGAACGGCAGCTGGACCACCTGATCCACGTCTGTACCACTCAACTTCGGCTGCTTTCCGAGGATGCTGACAGCCAACGATATCCTTGACTATGTGGAGGGCAGGCCTGGCGGGTTGGGCCCACTCAAGTGAGACTAGAGAGGCTACCCCAGACCCTAGATTCAGGAGAGAGCTCTGGCTTTACATGCAAGTCCTGGCTCAGCATTTACTCACTGACATTGAACAAGTTACTTAACCTCTCTAGTTTCAGCTTCATCTGCAAAAGGAGAAAAAAACTTAATTCCGAAATTGCTAAATTAAAACAAGAAAAGCTAGTACCAGCAATAACGCATTTAGTACAGTGATTCAGTACATGGTTATAGCTTAAGGGTTAGGGATACAAATTTTTATCATTCACAAAGATAGAAACTTTATTTTATTTTTAATTTTTAACATTGATTTCAGGGAGAGGGAGAGAGAGATAGAAACATCGGTGATGGAGAGTGTCATTGATCAGCTGCCTCCTGCACTCCCCATACTGGAGATCGAGCCTGCAACCAGGGCATGTGCCCTGACGGGGAATCAAACGGTGACCTCCTGGTTCATGGGTTGATGCTCAAACCACTGAGTCATGCCGGCTGGGCTAGAAACTTTATTTTAAAATAAGCTTTTTGTGTGTGTTTTTAAGTGAATACCCAAATTATGTTTATAAATTTTGGAAACAACCACTCACTAACACCAAGGTCATGAGTCAGAATAAGTTCTCCAGGCCTCATTGCAGGCAGCCATTATTACCTTGAGATTAGATGGGTAGAATGGACTCTGCCCATCATCATACAGATGTGGAAATTGAGGCTCAGGGGCATGAGATAGGCTTGAGCACAAACTGTTGGGTGAAGGATGCAGAGAACAGTATTAACTAAGCAAGTGTGGGCTCTACCTTAGCTGTCTGTGTGGGTGGTGCCAGAGGTCAAAGGTCATGTGGCTCTTGACTCCACCAACCCTGGCCTACGTGACTTGCCAGGACCTTCGTAGCATTGCAGATCCTGCAGAGCAGATGGTCATGGTGATCAAGGCCCCCCCTGAGACCCAGCTTCAAGCCGTGGACTCCTCAGAGGTGAGACGTGGGACCCTATTGCCCAACCAGCATAGGCTGGGTTGGCATAGTGGTCAGCTGAGCCTCAGCTTACCCTGCCTGCTACCTCCACCCAGACCTTTCAGATCTCCCTTAAGAGCAAACAAGGCCCTATCGATGTTTTCCTGTGCCCTGAAGAGAATGTGGGCGGGATCAGCCCCGGGAAGACCCCATCCCCAGGAGCATCTTCTGGGGAGGAGGACAGGGCAGCTGATCCTGCCACCACAGTGCCACCATCATCATCTCCCCCCTCAACCTCTGACACGGATCCCAGCCAGCCCCTGCTCAGCCTGGAGCAAGGTGGGTGAATGGTGGGTGAGTGGGTGGGTGGGTAGGCCTGACAGCCCTCTCTGCCTTTCCTGCCGGGGCTTCCCCAGCCTGTGATGCTCCCCCATCTCCCCAGAACCTCTGCTCTCCCGGATGGGTGGCCTGCGGGCCCCCATGGACGAGGACCACCTGTCTCCGCTGGTGGCGGCCGACTCACTCCTGGAGCATGTGCGGGAGGACTTCTCCAGCTTCCTCCCTGAGGAATTCATCAGTCTGTCTCCCCCACACGGGGCCCTCGACTACCACTTTGGCCTTGAGGAGGGCGAGGGCATCAGAGACCTCTTCGACTGTGACTTTGGGGACCTCACCCCCCTGGATTTCTGACGGCTTACAGGGACCAGGCCTCCTGAGATGCCCACCCTGTTTCTGCAGTCCTGGAGCCCCCTGCCCTTGGCTGTCCTCCCAGCCTGATTGGAAATGTTTAATTTATACCATTTTCCCCTGTCTCCAGAAGCTTCTAGCTCTGGAGTCTGGCTACTGCCAAAAGGCTGAGCAAGCCAGGAAGGGAAGGATTTTGTTTGTGGTGTGTATGTGCATGCACCCAACACCCAATGTGTGTACACGGGTGAGTGGTGTGTGAGCATGTGTGTGTGCATGTACCGGGGAATGAAGGTGAACACATCTGTGCGTGCACTGAAAACACGCCCCAGTGTGTCACGTGTGTGTGCATGAGTCCATGTGTGCTTGTGGTGGGGGCTCTAACTGCACTTTTGGTCTCCTTGCTCCAGGGGCCTCACAAGGCCCAGGGTGGCCACCTGCCCCCAGAATCCTGCGTGCTGACCAGGCCAGATGGTGAGGCCTTGGCCTGCTTGTTTGCAGGACAGCGAGAGCACTTCTGTCGTCTTAAAGGTTTTTCTGATTGAAGCTTTAATGGAGCGTTATTTATTTATCAAGGTCTCTTTGGCAAGCCTGGGGCACCAGCAAAGGGTAGGAGGGATGTGGGGCTGATGTCCCAGCTCCCTATACCCCTGAGTGAGGGCAGGGGTCCCTTAGCTGTTCTTTGCCCCACTCTGAAGGAGCTGAGGCCTGAGCGGTTTTATTTATTGGGAGATTGAGGAAGAGAGGGAGACTGACTGACAGCTATGGGTGGATGAAGGGGGTGGTCCCTCCCCAGGGGGTCACTGCAGGGCTCCAGCTGTCCCCCAGAACGGATGCGAGACAGGAGAGGTGAGTGGGGGACCTTCACTGACGGGGTGGGCAGGAGGGTGGGCGACGGGCCTCCCCACAGCCCAGCCCTCGGGGCCCTCCTGCAGCATCTGAAGCGCCCCCCCTACTCCACTGGCTCTGCTCCATCCACTGTGCACTTTGATTCGCCTGCCTAACAGCTGTTCCCTCCTGCTTCGGTTTTAATAAATGTTTTGATGGTGTTTGGGCCAGGTTTTGGGACTGTGTACTGGGAGCAAATTGGGGGTGGGAAAGGTCAAGACTGCTGGGGAAATGCCCATTTTCTACTTCCCTTCCCCATGCCTACTTGGTTTCATTTCACTTGAGCCTCAGCCCCAAGAAAGGTAGGCTTCATCAAGCATTTTTGTCCTAAAAACCGATCCAGTGAAGTAATAACGGGAACTCCCCTCCTTTCCCCAGCCCCAGAGAGGCTACTCTGCTATGTTCCTTCCAGATGTTTCTGGGCATTTGCAGACATGCAACAATAATTACAGTTGGCTGGTTCTGTGTCAGGTCTTTCAGGTTCTGGGGATACACGTTATCTCCCCTCATGAGGCTTTTGGGGATCTGTTGAAGAAGACCCACAAAATCAGGGAGGGCTTCCTGAAAGTACTTGAGTTAAGAGCTGTAGATAGTTAACTGAGTAGGAAAATATGAACACATTAAGCAGATGGCAGTGTGGGCAAAGGCCCTGGGGCAGGAGGGAGGAAGGCACAACCTGAAGTGTGGCTGGAGTCCTGGGGTGAGGGCCCGCGTGGGGAGAAGTTCAGTGGGCCTTTATATAGGGGACAAGGACTCACTGATGAGCCTGGGGAATGTCTTGTTCCATATTTTAAATATAATTAAATGTGTGAAGGGTAGGTTGAAGTAGAGGCCAGAATGGCAGAGAAGAGGGCGGGCTTGGAGGTTGTCCACACAGACCTATTTAACAATCTCCTAGGTGAGCTTTGAGCCAGTCTCTATTTTAAGCCCTTTATAGTCGGTGAACCCTCACAATTCTATGGAGTGTCTACTATTACCCTCATTCTGGTCCTAGCCAGTTTGGCTCAGGGGTTAGAGTCTCAGCCCTTGGACTGAAGGGTCCTGGGTTTGATTCTGGCCAAGGGCACGTTCCTCGGTTGCAGACTCCATCCCTGACGGTTGGGGCAAATGCAGGAGGCAACCAATCTGTGTCTCTCTCACATGGATGTTTCTCTCCCTTCCACTCTCTGAAAAGCATTAGAAAAAAATATCCTCAGGTGAGGATTAAAAACAAATAGCCCCATTTTGTGGCGAGGGTAAAGGTGAAGCCACTTGGCAGTCTTACCCATGCCGAGTGACAGTACTGGGCTGCAGTTTGCGCACTGTAATGGTGCGGGTCGTCCTTTGGCGGGCATGTGCAGCCCCTTGAGTTCTGTTCCTGGCTGTGTAATACTCCCAACCACGTTTTCTCAGCGAGTCTCCAGTGGAAGAGACTGCCTGCGTGGCTCCTTTGTGGTGGCCGCCCCTCCAGGAGCCTCTGGTGGCAGAACCTCGAAGGTGAAGGGTGCTAGGCGTCTCCGCTGCGCAGCTCTGTCACCCGCCGGCTG